ACTGATCTTTAAGTTGCTGTTTAAGCAGCTGGTGTTTTTCTTGTAAGTGTCGTTCTTCAAGCTCCCAAATTGCAGCTTCTCGAGCTAGAAGGAAGGAGTTTTCAAAATGTTACTCGGCTCTTTTAACTAATGTACAATGCTCTTCATCTTCCTATTTACATTAAAGTATTCTATATACACTAACTTATACACATAAATGGATATTCTGTGCTATACATAAAGTGTTATCAATGTAAAAAAGTATTTACTACCACTCTCTATTTTGTTTAAAATTTTACAGACTAAGAATGTCCTACCAGGAATGCCAAAATCCCATCTTAAACAGAAAGAAAAAAATCAGTCCATTCTCTCATGTAATCATTAAGTACATCAACAATTATGAAGCATAATGAAGTCTATAAAATTATTCAGATATATTTTTAGCATTATTCAAATGGAACAATGCTTTAAGTTTGGGTTTTGTTTTGCCTTGTGTTTTTGCAGTGCTGAGGACTGAGCTACATTGTGGTTCATGTTAAAGACGTATTTTACCAGTGAGTTACATCCCCAGTCCATGTTTTATTTTTTTTAATTTTTAAAAAATTTTATGTGTATAGTAGTGGTATGCCTGAAAGCATGTTAGTGCACGCGTGTCGTACAGTGCCCAAGGAGGACAGAAGAGGGCATCAGATTTCCCTGGAACTGGAATTATGGATGGTTATTAGCTACTATGTGGGTGGTGGGTCTTCTGTAAGAGCTCTTAGCAACTGAGTCATCTCTCCACCCCTGTCGCCATGTCCATGTTTTAAGTATATGCTTATATATACTTCTACAATATCTTGTAGTGGTTCTTAAATTTAAAAAAAAAAAATTTAACTTTGTTGTTGTTGTTGTCATTGTTGTTGTTGCTTTGAGACAGAGTCTCACTGTGTACCCCTGGCTGGCTTAGAACTCACTATGTAGAACAGGCTGGCCTCAAACTCAGAGATCTGCCTGACTCTGTGTCCTGAGTGCTGGATTAAAGATGTGTGCCTGCAACCATGCCCAACTCTAAAACTCTTTTCTCTAATGATTTATTTGTTTTTATTCATACAAGTGTTTTGATCACCTGTATATATACATACTGGTATGTGAATAGTGCCCAGAGGCTAGAAGAGGGTGACAAAGCCACCATGTGGGAATCGAACCTGGGTCCTCTGGAAGAACAGTAAGTGCTCTTAACCACTGAACCACCTCTCCAGCCCTCTAAAACATTTTTTGACACACATATACTTTATCTGTATGAGTATCTGGCCTACATGTATGTATGTGCACCACATGCATGCCTGGTGCCCATCTAGACCAGAAGAGGACATTCGATACCCTGGCACTGCAGTCAAAGATGGTTGTGAACCATTATGCGGGTGCTGGAAACCAAACCTAGGTTCTCTGCCAGGACAATAACTTCTCTTAGCAGTGGAGCCATCTCTTTATTCCCATATTCTTAGTTTTAAAACAGAATTTTAAATAAAAGAATAAACCACTTATTTACAATTTCCTTAATCTTTCTCTTTGCCACCCTAGTAAAGGAAAGCACTCGAATACTTTGCAAGGTATGTCTCAAGGCAATGTTTGTTAAGAAACTGTTCTGTGTGCACACACATGCTATGAACTCTCACATACCTCTCATAAGCTGCTGTTTGTTATTCAGGCACTCTCTCTCAATATTGGCCAACTCTGCCTTCTGCTGTTGGATGATCTTTTTCAGGGAGCCGTCTAATTCTTGTTGTTGCTTCTGAACAAATTCTTGCTCCTATTAGACATATTTAACCATCTGTTAATATATATCTACTGAATTAAACATCTATTAATCTATCTATGTATATTAATGGTTAGCAAGGTTTCTTTCTCCTTTTTTTGAGGGGGTAGTGCTGGAGATTGAACTCAGGGCCTTGTACAAGCTAGACAAGTACTCTGCCACTGAGCTACACCCCCAGTAGTTAACAGGACCCTTTCTTCATGAAGTTTATCAAACTGGGGGGATTTTTTTTTAAATCACCAGAATTATGTTGTATCTATATAGTATAAATATATTAGTCATACAACTTAAATCTAGAAAAATATTAGAATGTACAATAGTCTACATTCACTATTAAGAATGATACACATGGAGTTGGCATGGTGGCACACACCTTTATTCCCAGCCCTCCAGAGGCAGAGGCAGGCGGATCTCCATGAGGCCAGCCTGGTCTATACAGTGAGTTCCAGGAGAGCAGGAACTACCAGGAGCCCCTGTCTCAAAAAAGATTGACACAGAGAAAGTGTATGTTCCATTCATAATTAAAATGTTCTGTTAAATTAGCAGCTTTGAAAAAATAACAAATATACAGCTTCTAAAACTGACTATTCATTCCATCATGGTATAACCAGAAAAAAATAAGAAAAGCAGTGTGTGGCTAAGTCAAACAGACAATCTAAGAACCAGAATAAGAGTGACGACTATACACACAGAGGAAGACAGTGTTGGCCATCTGAAACCCATACTGAAAGAACACTGGTCCTAGGACTTAATGAGAAAGTGCATGACTAGAAGAATGTAAACTAAACCAGGAGGGCAAGTCACACGTAACAACTCTGTAAAAAAAAAATTCTTATCATGAAAGAGCTCTATCAACATGTTTTGGACTCACTAATCTACTTAACAAATATTTATTGAATGTATACAATTTGCCAAATGTATACTTTAAAAAGCAAATTTAGATCTCTAGCCCTCTCTTGGCAGTGATAACAGATGGTGATTAGTTCAAGGAATAGGCAACCAAAAAAACCTGTGGATTCAGAATTCAATTTTGGATTGAAGCAGTACTTCACCTATAATCCCTTTCTCTTATACATCCAAGAAAGATCAAATCCCAGATCTACTTCAGAACTATTCTTGGGCCCTGGACAGAGTATGACAAGATCTGGATCATTATTACCTGGTCCTAAACATAGACGGCCTTAGCCAAGTTCATTAAAGTGTCTGCCTTCTGGCAGTGCCTCTGGTGCTGTCACTCCAGACTTCTGTTGGAGTGATCTGGAGTCTCAAAGGTTTCCAATTCATCTGCACTATCCCATACATTTCAGCATAAATACAATAGCAGAAAGAAAGACTAGTGATTGTCTCTGTAAGATACAGTTAACTGCTTGACTAGCCACCTATAAAACTATCTCAGACAAAAATGTCAATGAATGATTACACTTGTCTAGAACAAAGGCTTTGGATATGCAAAATCTCCATGCCTACCTTTTAAGCAGCAATAACCAAAAAAACCTATTTTAACTCCTCCTTTTCCTACAGCAAATATATGTAATAGTTTCTTTGAACCTCAGATGTAAAACTTCTATATGCAAATTTGTGTGTATGCAAAATTGTGTGTATGAGTGTATTGCCTGCATGTATGTAAGTGCATTCATGTCATGCAATGCCCAAGGAGGCCAGAAGACAGCCTTGGCCTTGGATTTCCTGGAACTGGAGTTACGAACAGTTTTTAGTTGCCATGTGGGTGCTGAGAACCAAACCCAGGACCTCTGCAAGAGCAGTCAGTGCTCTTAACTGCTAGGCCATCTCTCCAGCCCCACGAATCCTGATTTTTATCAGCAATTGTATAGTTTCCAAAATAGTTTCATAAAAATAATCACATTCACTATTTAAATTCACAAATATCTGCCTGCCTCTGCCTCCCAAGTGTTGGGATTAAAGGCATGTGCCACCACGTCCAGCTCTGCTAGGCCATCATCTCTCTAGCCCCATTGTTTAATATACTTTTAATCTGGAGCTATATTAAAGAGTTTCTTCTGCTCAACATTTATTTTATTTTATTTTTATTTTATGTGTATGCATGTATTGCCTTCATGTATGTAAGTGTACCCATGTCATGCAAAACCTGTCAAGGTCCAAAGAGGATGTTGGGTCCCCTGGAACTGGAATTATGGACAGTGGTTAGCTGACATGTGGGTACTGGGACTTGAACCTGGGTCCTCTGCAAGAGCAGTCAGTGCTCTTAACCACTGAGACATCTCTAACCATTGTTCAACATTTTTATCATTGGTTTGCATAAAGGATGTTTAAATATCTGCATGGACAGCAACAATTAGTCTACCCAGTACATATGTAAACCTTACATTTAGACTCAAAGAAATCAAAGGTAATAGTGCAGAATGAAGTCAATACACATGTGAAAATGAAACAGGTAAACAAAAGCCATGCTACTAAGTGAAGATAATTTCCTGTCTATGTAATTTTTGGTCACATTACTATATTCAGTATCTGGAATTACATAAGATGAGAGCTCAGTTCAAATAAAACTTTCATTAAGTACTCAGTAAATGCTGAGCATTGTACTAGATATAGGCTGACTAAAATTAATAAAAGACAGCCTTAAAGGAGGGTCCACACTATTGGTCCCAAGTACCAAATAATCTTGGGCTGTCTAATCTTTATGATAGTGTCACACTTTAAAAAATTGTATTTCTACTTGTGTGTGTGTGTGTGTGTGTGTGTGTGTGTGTGTGTATAAGAACAGGTGCCCACAGAAGCTAGAGGTATCGGTTCCCCCAAGAGCTGGACTTACAGGTGGTTGTGAGTCACCCAAGAGACACTGGGAACTGAAGTTGAGTCCTTTGGAAGAGCAGTACTGCTCTTAACCACTGAGCCATCTCTCTAGTCCTAGTGTCACATTTTTAAAGATTCAAAACTAAATTACAAAAACCTCAAAGCTGGTGATAAAGAGTTCAGAAACCATGTTTCACAATGACTGGCAGGAATACAGGTGTGCCCTCTAAAGTAACTAATACATACTGGTAAAGAATGGATAGGGTGGTTACAGAGAGGCAGGCAAGGCAACTATGTGCTGCTCCAGAAGACAGAAGGATCAACAAGTAGCAGTCAAGTAGGCAGCTCTAAAAGGAATGTGTGGAAGTGCTTCCTAACAAGAGTTAGAAAAGAACCTGGCTGCCTCACAGCTGAGTAAGCAAGCAGGTTTTAAATGACAACAGAGTCAAGGATAGTACATAAAGACTTTACAATTAAAGCTAAAAATTACCTGAAAAGAATGTTTACAGAGGAATTGATATACTTCATTACTTCAAATGAAATTTAATTTTAGTATTATTGAGCATTCATTAAAATTTTCAACTTCAAAAGGCAAGTACAATACATTCACAGTGGAATTTGTGGTCAAAAATTGCTCTTAGGAACTAAGAAAAATTTTACATTCTAAAAAGCCTGCACAAATTACATTTTGCCTTTAAAAATACATATAGGTGCTGGGTGTGGTGGCACACTCCTTTAGTCCCAGGACTTGGGAGGCAGAGGCAGGCAGATCTCTGTGAGTTCCAGGCCAGCCTTGTCTACATAGTGAGTTCCAGGCCAGCAGGGGCTACAGGGAGACGCTGTCTCAAAAAGAAAAAAAATAAATAAAAACCAAAACAGACAGGTTTAATGAGAAATAACAGAAGAATCCAAAGTAATAAAGCTGAAAGTCATTTTAGAAAATCGCCCCATAAACTGTGAAATTAGTACCCTTTAAAAGTACAAGTTTAAATTCTGATAAGTAACTTCATAAAATTAATTAAATAACTATAAGTATTAAAGCTACAGCTTTGGGTTCAAAAAACAATCAGTAAGAGTTATGATATATATTGGGCTATTTGTATACTTTGGTCATTTTAACTCAAAAGATTTACTAAGAATGGCAATGATCAGAAAAGTAATTATAAATCATAATTTCTAACTTCTTTTTAAAAAAGAGTGCCAATTATATTTTAAAAATCTAATTTTGGGAGAGGGAAAACAGGAAGGGCTGAAATCAAGCTGTATTCTATGTACTCCAGTTGTGTATGCCAAACATTACAAACAAAATTACAATGCTGTATTAGCTAGTCTTTCCTATGGAAACTGTGAGAAAGAATACAGCCTAGAATTCCAGACTTAATTTAAATCTACAGCAACACTAATAGCAATTCACTATTCACTACTGGCAATTTGAATCAATGGAGACAGGTTAAATAGAACTAAGATTACTACTTTTACCATGGCTTTTCTGACCATATCCATAATTAAGACATCTACATAAATGTATATGCAATCAAAATGTCACTTCACACAAAGATAAAAATCTAACCACAGCATTCAGTTTCTCACATGTGCAAATTTGGGAAAATACTACTAGGAACAAATTTTACTTCTCTTAAAAATCATGGAAATCTCAAATTAGAATTTGTGATAGAGAGGCAGAAAAAAAGAGCAGCACACGGACAGCATTCTAGTTGCATCTCTGTCACTAATCTCTTCTGCAGAGCATGCATCTTTAAAGCAGTTCAGTCTTCTGTGCCTCCCAGATGCATCTGGAGCAAGGATGCACCCCACCCCACCCTTGTATTAGGATGGTGACAGTGAAAATCAGATTTAAAACTCTGAAGACAGTTATCACAATGTTCATGTCAGACTACTATTACCGTCATTAATGACATCATCATCTGTCAATTTTCTATGTTTTAGCAAATGAAGACAACAATGAAAAGGCACATGTGAGTCAAAGAAAGCCAGTAAAACAGAAGGCACCCTCCCACGGCACGCGGGACTTACGTCCTGCATTTGAGCGTTGAACACTGCACAAGATGACAACTGAAAAGACTGAATCATGACCTGAGCAACACCCTGTGGATCAGAATACAATGCACCTCCCAGGTGAGAATACATCTGAGTGACTTTGTGTAAACGGAAAGAATAATTACACAAATGTTGAGCTTCTTGAGGCCTAGGTCAAGTTAATTAACAGAGGGGCCTATTTCTCCTCTATAGAATGAAGGATGTGAACTAGATCAATGGTTTTTAAACTCTAATGTGTTAATTGCTTTTTGCCAGGCATGGTAGTACACGCCTTTAAATCCAGCACTTGGGAGGCAGAGGCAGGCATATCTCTGTGAGTTCAAGGCCAGCCTGGTCTACATAACTAGATCAATGGTTTTTAAACTCTAATGTGTTAATTGCTTTTTGCCAGGCATGGTAGTACACGCCTTTAAATCCAGCACTTGGGAGGCAGAGGCAGGCATATCTCTGTGAGTTCAAGGCCAGCCTGGTCTACATAACTAGATCAATGGTTTTTAAACTCTAATGTGTTAATTGCTTTTTGCCAGGCATGGTAGTACACGCCTTTAAATCCAGCATGAGTTCCAGGACAGCTGGGGCTACAGGGAGACCCTGTCTCAAAAAGACCCAAAAAAATTTTTTTTATTATTTTTATTCTGTGTGTATGAGTGTATTGCCTGCATGTGTCTAAGTGTACCCATATCATGCAATGCCCACAGCAGTCAGAAGAGGGTGATAGGATCTCCTGGAACTGGAGTTACGGACTGTTGTTAGCCATCATGTGGGTGCTGGGTATTGAACCCAGGTCCTCTGCAGGAGCAGCCACTGCTCTTAACTGCTGACATCTCTCTGGCCCTATTGCTTTATAAATAAGTATCAGTCCTTATTTTAAAAAATAAATCTGCTTATCAATCTGGTTAAAAAGTGTTTCCAGACATCTTACCCTGCCAGACCAGCACCATGGGGAATCATGGTGAAGCCAATGCAGTGGGGAGGGTGGGCCAGGAGGGGGAGGGGCCAGGATCCCTCTGTGGGACACCTGCGGTCCTCCATCATCTTGTCCCTCTGCTCCCAGATCACCGCCCTTTAACAGTCTGGATTTAATAAATTCATATGGGTGTTTAACTTAAAAAAAAAAAAAAAAGTGGTACTCCTGGGCCCACAAGGTAGCTCAGTGGGTAAAGGTGGCTGCCTGGGCGCCACATGGTAGGAGAGAACTGACTCTTGCAAAAAGCTGCCCTCTGACAGAAAATAAGTAAATAAAATGTGAATGACAGAAAAGAGAGGAGAGAAGGGAAGAAAAGGGAAAGGAAAGTGAAGGGAGGGGAGAGAGTCAAGAGAGAGAAAAATAGTGCTCGAGTTGACATTGAAACAATGCCCTACAGCTCCACAGTCCTTGCCTTTTGGATAAGAGCCCCCAGGAGAACAGCTGGGAAAGCCTCAGGCTAGGTGTCAAATATGTACTAGCTCCATGACTACAAACTATGACTTACAACCTCTTAAAATTTAAAGCAAACTCTATAAACATCAAATTTTAGTAAATTTATCAAAGGAATACTTTTGAAATATGTTATTCTAAACTCTTCACTAAATTTACAAAAAGAATTTACTATAATTTTATCTTTCCTTGGACTTTTAAAAAGTCACCCAGAAAACTAAAAAGTAAAGCATTGGAACATCTAATTCATTCAACACTAAATTCTCAATTTCAATTCTTAAGTTTAATATCCTTTTCGAAGTAAAACAGTTTGCTAAAGACCTTTGTTAAGCAAAACTATATATTGCTATTATTTAGCTATTATTTATTATCTAGTTTGAAATCTAAACTGACCCAAAGTAGATGTGTAACCAGCAAGGTCTTCCTCCTCATTTTGTTCACAGGAAACAAGCAATAAACACTAGATCTAGCAGATGAGAGGATGAAAGTTTAGATGAGGCAGAATAGGTTGCTTTAACACAGGAGGCAGTATAGTGTGGTATGTGGCAGTCCCATGTATCAAACATGGAGCTGAAGTTGTCTGGATGCAAATCCTGGCTTTACCACTGACCAGATGTGTGACTGTGAGAGAATCATTGCTATGCATGGTTTCCCACCTCTAAAATGGGAGTGATGCCTATTGGGACATAGGACCAAATACACAGAAGATTGAGAATCACGCTTGACACATAGTAAATGCTATGTGTGTGTTATCACCTTCAACTAGTAATCCTCAAGCCACGTCAAGACAAAAATGTTTCAGTGGCATATGGCAAGAAAAGATATTACCCTTATTCAAATAACTAACATGATTAAAACAGTAAATTCTAAGATTATTTTCCTTATTTTTTAATAACATTAAAAATACCTGAAAGAGCAACAAGCAAATGGTAATTTAAAAATATCCTTAACACACACACACACACACACACACACACACACAAACACAGAGACTGTAACGGCAGTTCATGTCATGGTCCCTAGTGTTTTTTTTGTTTGTTTTGGGGGGTTTTGTTTTTTGGCTTTTTTGTTGTCGTCGTTGTTTTTGTCTTTTTGAGACAGGGTCTCCCTGTAGCCCCAGCTGTCCTGGAACTCACTATGTAGACCAGGCTGGCCTTGAACTCACAGAGATCCGCCTGCCTCTGCCTCCCAAATGCTGGGACTACAGGTGTGCGCCACCACACCCGGCTTTATTTTTTGTTTTTATAATCACAGAAAACCATATTAAAAGGATAATTCATTGAAATAATTGTAGAAATTCTTTTTTTAAAATTTTTTTTATTTTGTGTATGAGTGTATTGCCTGCATGTACGTGAGTGTGCCTGTGTCATGCAATGCCATGGAGGGCTTCGGATTCCCCTGGAACTAGAGTTAAGGACAGTTTGTAGGCATGATGTGAGTGCTGGGAATTGAACCTGGGCCCTCTGCAAGAGCAGTCAGTGCTCTTAACCACTGAGCCATCTCTCCAGCCCCAGAAATTCTTTTAAAATACTCATTCATCTAATTTTATAAGGAATTCATTTTGTAAAAATAGTCGATTCATTTAACTGTTAGATTCTGAATCAAAAAGAAAAAAATATGCTAAAAATTAGGCTTTAAAGTTATGTTGTTGAGCCTAAAAGTAATAAATGTTTGATCTACCATTTAACAATGTCATTTACAATTTTTATTCTGACTGTAAGCTTAATAGAAATGAGGCATTTTTTTTTTCTAAGTACTAGGATTATATACACCCACCCCCTTCCAATTCTGTCCTCAAAGCCTTCTACCAAGCACTGGCATCACACCAAAAACACAAGTTTCCATCACAATGAAACCAGGTACAATGATTTATACTAACACATTTGTTTCCTCCATCTGGAATCAACAGTCTACACATTCCAGTCACTTTCATATTGGCAAGTTAAACATCACCAAGTATAAATTATATTAAAAAGATCCTTGGAATCTGTGAGTGGGGAAAAGTTCAACATTATAAAAAATTACAATTAAAATGGACTCTTTTGACCACGGCGTCCTGAGCTGTGAGAAATGCTGCTTTCTGTTTTAGTAGCATTAAGCTGCTGCTGTTACCTGAGCATGCTGGCTTTGCGCAAGCTCCTCTTTCCTGCGTTTCATGAGCTCTTTTCTCAGCTCTTTGGGTGCTTTCTCCACTTCATTTATAACCTACAGTGTATAAGCATGCGGGAGGTGGGGAAGTGATACTTTCTCCACAGCAAGCATATAATACGCATAGTGAGCAGAAAAGCTACAAGTCAAGATTAAAGATTCCTTTCAACATGCATTAGCATAAGCATTAGTTTGGTGGAAAATACAAAGATGGAGCATGCTTAAAAATCTCAGTGCAGAAAGGGACACTGCAGCATACAAAGGTTTGTTAGTTGCTTAATTATTCCTGCATATCATTTTTTTATCGTAAAGATCCAAAGGCAATCAACAAAGGATTACTTGTAGCACTAATGCTGAAATAAGTGATAAATTCAACTGCCTTCTCGAAAGATCATAAAACTTATAATCTCATTTACCAATATTGTTTGAAATGCTGAACATACAAAAAAGTAATGCCATTTATAAAAGTGCAAACTTTTATAACTGAATTGACAATATCAGAGAAATAATTTTAAATGAAACTCAATGAGACTAGGGCAGAAAAGGGAAAGAAGGAAAATCTTATAATACACAAAGGAGAAATAAATGAATACTGAACTTTTCCCATAGAACACACCATTTTATACATGGTGTGACAAAAATGAACATATCTGATGATCTTCTGCAGGACTGATTAGATAACATTTTCCTTTGCAGAAAATTTAAGTCAAGCTGGTCAATTCTAAAATCAGTAATATAGGCACTCTAAAGTTTAGCAATCTATTATTTATTATTCCAAACAAAGTATGCTACAAAATGAAGTATATTTTAAAGTTCCTTCTTTAAATCATTTCAAAATCCTAAATGTGAATTCCATCTACCAACAGATCTATAATCCAGCTATGAAAATCAATAGTGTGTTCACAAGTAGAAGCACCATAAGAAACCAGATTCCAAATCACCACATGCCATTTATGGTCCAAGAAAGAGGCCAATTTTGATTTAACAAAGTGTCCTTGAAGTTTCCCATCCGTAATTCCTTGTGAAACCAAATCACCAATAAAAGCAGGAGACTCCCCAAATGCAAGAAGTTTAGTGATGAGGAAAAAATAGATAAGATTATTTTTAAAAAATATACATATCATGAGCTCAAACACAACTGGTTAAAACTCTCCAACTTCAAAATAGCAACAATAACTACACTTATTTAGAATTAAGTCATATATTTACCTATAAAAAAATCTTTTAATCTAATTCAAAAATTAGCCTGTCAATGAAAATTAGCCCATTTTAAAAATATTAATATCTATATCACAGTACATGAAACTATATTCTATATAAAACAGTATCTAATAAATACTATAATAAACACTGAAAACTAATTTTTACACATGGCAGCTACATCAAATGAAATAACATACCATTATATACTTATTTTTACCTAAAGAAAACACTGTCTACTCTGTGAACATTCAACTCTATCCTACTTGAATACATCCTTAATATTCAATAATATGGTGTTCATTTTTTTTCATAAATGTTGAAGTCAACGAATCTTGGTATTTGAGACGTGTACCAAGACTGAAAATGCACTTCCTACTTCGAGATATTTTCTTCCAATCATAATATAATTGATTATAACTATTTTCCCTGGGGCCATTTAAACCCTGGAAAGGCAAATCCTCCTCCTGTCCTGAAGATGCAGAACAATCATAAAATTATCTCTGAAAATTTCTTAGCTGTAAAGTTCTCTCAGTTTTATTTTAACCCAGGGACAAAAGGACAATAGCACACAGAAAGCCTCTTTAGGAACTGAGGACAAGCTTGTACAGTAAGCAATCAATTCTAGTAACAATCTAGAAGCATCTAAGCATGATGAAAAACTTATTACAATCAAATGACTTTACAGATACTTTCCACTTTAAATTCTCCAAAGTACCCCAGAATGTGATAGGCATATAATAGATACTAGCTTGAATACTAAGCTATTCTATTTTTGTTTGGCACAATGGCTAAGAAAATCAATACACTGAAAAAAAAAAACCAACACTGAAATGACAAGTAATCAGTAAATAATAAAATGAATTCTTCCTATTAACAGCAAACATCAATGAGATTCTCTTGAAAAAAAATTCTATGTAAGGCCTTAAATATTGCAGTAATAGAAGATGAATGGCAGACTGAAACACAGATTGGACTTTTTTGAAGACTTGGCTCAAGGTTAAGCTAGGCAGGTCACTGAAATCTCTTTTATTTCAGTTTTCTTGGCAGTAAAATGAGGGTAATAGCTGACCTTACTAAGTGCCAGCCTATCACTACTGGGAAGTCGGAATAAAAGAAAAATGAAGGCTATTCAATTACCAGCTATTATTCCCAATTCCTTAGATAGTCTTCAATTCACATTTTAAAATCAGTTATAGTAATTAACAACAGCAGTTACCTCCTTCTTCCGGTTTTTTAGCATATTCTGAAATTTGGACAGCTCTTTCTCTTGCTCTCCTTTAATGCGTTTGGCTTCATCTCGCAAGCGATTTGTGTGTTCTTGTTCTAGTCGCTCAATTGTCTGTTTTTGCTGCTTTTCTAGATTCTCGATTTCTTGGTCATACTGTCGCTTTTTACTCTGAAAAAAATGTAGTTTATTATCTCTACTAACTCATCACAGTGGAAATATTTACGTTTACTAAAGTATGTACCCAGTATTTTAGTGATATAACCTACAGAATAATGAAGAAAATCAAATTGCACCAAAACATACTGAAATATGTGTATGTTTGTTCGTGTTCTGGTGCACGTGCACATGTGTGCACACTCATATGGAAGCCAAATTTAAATGTCAGGTGTCTTCCTCAATTGTTCTGCATCTTGTTTTCTGAGACAGGATCTCTCACTGAACCTGGAGCTCACTGATTTGGCCAGACTAGCTGGCCAGCAAGCTTCAGGGATCCTCCTGTCTCTACCACCTCAGCGCTGGGGATCAGAGATGCATGCCATCATGACTGGCTTTTTACATGGATGCTGGGGCTCTGAATTTAAGTCCTCAGGCTTGTAGAACAAGCACTTTACCAACTGAACCAAATGTTATGAAAACTTCCAAAAAGATAAGTAACATTCATTTCCTACACGGAAATTATTTTTACTTCCATTATACAAGTAGAAGAATGTTCAAATATTTTTAGATAACCCAGAATATCTAGTTGCTAGGAATTACTAAAGTTAGAAAAGTGTCAGTGTTCATTTAATAAAAATGTTTGATGGCGGTTGGGGAGGCAGTAAAGTGCTTGCATTGTAAGCATTAGGACCTAAATCTGATCCCCAGAACCCACATAAAAAAGCCCCACAAGGTTGTGCCCACTTGTTAATCCCAGTTCTGGGGAGGCAAAGACAAATCCTAGGGCTCATTGGCAATCCAGCCTAGCCTAATTAGCAAAGTCCAAGCCAGTCAGAGACCCTATCTCAAAATTAAAACAAAGCCAGGTATGGTGGCACATGCCTTTAATCCCAGCATTCGGGAAGCAGAGACAGGCAGACCTCTGTGAGTTTGAGACCAGCCTGGACATACATAGTGAGACCCTGTCTCTAATTAATTATAGAACAAGGTGGATGACACATGAGGAATGACAACCCAAGTTCCTACACACACACACACACACCTACACACACACACACACACACACACACACACACACACACACACATGCATGCACGCACGCACGCGAACACACATACAAAATATCTGATAAATCCAAGGACTCATCTACAGTCATTTCAGTAATATAGCAATGCTTGTCATTTCCAGATTTTCTCTTCCTCATAAATATTCTTAAATATTCTATTCCAAAACAAATTCTTGAAATGATAAATTTAGTCTTTTTAGAAGAATAGTTTAAAGCTAGGGAGATTGTGCCGCACAGGCACTGAGGACCTGAGTTTCATCCCTAGAATCTATCTGGAAAAGCTGATCTTGGAGACAAGCTTATAATCCCAGTCCTAGGGAGGCAGAGACAGATCTGGGGCTCTCTAGGCAGCCAGCCTTGCTTACTCAGCTAGCTCCAGGCTGAGACACCTACTCAGGTTAGCTCCTGACAAAAGAGGTCATCTTCTGACCTCCACATACATGCTTACCTACACACACATATATCACACACGCATGCTTGAACATGTGCACACACATACCAAATACTAAAAAGAATAGTTTATTGTATACACAATAGGGAAGCAGTGAGCTGGGCAATAACTAGAACACCGCCTACTAAATCTATCTTTCAAGAGACCCTCACACACACACTTACACTCAAATAATGACGACACTTTGGATATAGATACAGTTAAATATATATATCTATATATATATATTTGTCTTTTGTATTTTTGAGACAGGGTCTCCCTGTAGCCCCAGCTGGCCTAGAACTCACTATGTAGACCAGACTGGCCTCAAACTCACAGAGATCGGCCTGCCTCAAAGTGAGGCAAGGGGAGGATCTCTGTCTCAAAAAAAAAAACCTTAGATACTAAAGTGAAAGATGAAATTGGAACACTGAAAAATTACTCAGCAACAGACAATCTAAGAACTGTGGAAACAGTCTGCCAGCTTCAGGATGCTGATACCATTATTGATTCCAACAAGAAAAATATAAAGACTTCTTAACAACATATAATCAGTGATAAGACTGGACTAGAAGATTTCTTTCAAGAAAAAAGTATTTTTTAAAAAACCATCCAAGTGGGGCTAGAGAAATGGCTCAGTGGTTAAGAGCACTGGCTGCTCTTGCAAAGGACCTGGGTTCAATTCCTAGCACCCACATGGTGGCTAACAGCCATGTGTAACTCCAGTTCCGGGGGAATCCAACATTCTCTTCTGATCACCGCAAGCATTGCATGCCATGGGTACACTTACACACATTCAGGCAATACACTCATCCACATAAAATAAAAATAGTAAAGTAAAAAATTTTTTCTAAAGCATCCAAGGGGCTAGAGAGATGGCTCAATGGTTAAGCATACTGGCTGCTCTTGCAGAGGACATAGGTTCAGTTCCCAACACTCACATTGTGGCTAACAACTGTCTGTAACTCCAGTTCCAGGGAAATCCAATACCCTCTTCTGACCTCTGTGAGCACTGTGCAACACAGGTGCACTTACATGCAGGCATAACACTCAAACACATTAAAATATATATATATATATATATATTAAAAGAAGCATCCAAAATATCAAAGAAACAGAAGCCAAAATAATACATCATAAAATTAGGAACATCTCATAATCAGAGATCAAATTCTAAAACCTACCTGTAAGTTTTTTTTTTTAAAGGACCAGTTATCATTATTAGCAAAATAATACAAAATTTAAGGCTTTACCATCATTTCTTGCTCAAAGCGCCTGAAAATTTGCTCTCGTTGCTGCTGTAGCTTGCTGTTGAGCTGCTGTTGGGCTCGCTGCTCTTCTTTTTGAAGAAATCTTAATTCTCGAAGTTCCTGACGTCTGACAAAAAAATAAAAGCAAATATTACACTTTTTAAATAACACTTTAAAAAAAAAGCTTCTGAACTTAAAAAACTTTCAAATAATCCAAAATTAACCAAGAATTTATTCTTGTTTTTCTATTCTTCACATTTTTCAAAACCATGGAAAAAAGACCACAAACTAGTTTTAATTATGTTTCTCTACTCACCTGAGAAACCGCAATTCCTCTGTTTTGGAATCACTATCTGTAACTATCTTGGACGTTGTTACACTCACTTCTACACCATCAACAATAAATTTGCGTGTTTTCTTCAATGTTTTCTTTTGTCTTCTTGTTTCCTGAGTGAGATTTCATTCTAGTTAGGGTTGGTATAAGGAACAGTAGAGGTAGAAGACATTTTCCTCTTTAAAAATAAAAACGCACCAGGCGTGGTGGTGCACGCCTGTAGTCCCAGCACTTGGGAGGCAGAGGCAGGCAGATCTCTGTGAGTTCAGGCCTGCCTGGTCTACATAGTGAGTTCCAGACCAGCAGGGGCTGCAGGGAGACCCTGTCTCAAAAAAAAAAAAAAAAAACAACACCAAAAATAATAAAAATGCTTGAAAATCCATGAATACTACACAAGTAAAACAGTAAGACTTACCTGTGGAAGTTCTATCCCCTCATATCTAATCTGATAACTCACACTTGATTTTATAGATGAAATTAAAAATTTAAGTAAAATTGCACATTGTGAGCATGTGCATATGTAACTTTTATGACATGACATAATTAGGCACAAGTGATAATGAAGATTTCATACTGTAATTTTCATATATTAGCCTTTTTTTCTTCATCTTTTTACTTTTGTTGGTTCTCAATACCTCTACACCTCCACTGAAAACTCTTAACTCTTAAAAATGATTTCCTGAAGCTCATCCCTTTAAACAAATCTAAAGCAGTAAGTCTGAGGGCAGCTGGGATTGTTTTTAGAAAGATTCTAGATAAGATTTAGATATTTCTGATCAAAAGCTATTGTTCAGTAGCTATAACATCAACAGCATTTCTCCATTGAGGCCAGAGCTGGATATGTGATTCTCAAGTTACTAGAAAGATGAAGCCTCTACTGTACCCCAAAGAACAAGAGCTGCCTACTAGTTACAGTTTAAGATTCCAACCATGGCCAAACTCTATTTCCTAATGGGTGCCCTAACACTTTTAAAGGCTAGTAGAAATGATGGAAATATAATATTCCAAATAAAAACACATTGTAAAACACAATGTATTTTTTATATTTTATTTATTTATTTTTATTTTATGTGTAGGAATATATTGCCTGTATGTATGTAGCTTCACCTATACTGTGCAATGCCCTCAGAAGTCAGAAGAGGGCGTCGGATACCCTGGAACTGGAGTTACAGATAGTTGTTAGCTGACATGTGGATGCTGGGATCCAAACCTGGGTCCTTTGCAAAAGCAGCCAGTTTTCTTAACTGCTGAGCCATATCTCTAGCCCCACGAATGTTATTTTTTTATTATTTATTTGTGTGTGTATGTAGCATGTACCATGATGTGCCATGTGGTGTATGGAGGTCAGAGGACAGTCTGTAGAAGTCGGTTCTCTCCTTGTACTATGTGAGTCTCAGGGACAGAATTCAGGTTGTCAAGCTTGGCAGTAAAAGTCCTTACTCACTATCCCCATATGTATTTTGGTAAGTAGATTAAGTATGGAGAGCAGATAAATATTTTGATTCTTTGGATGGGGGTGAGGATTAGAAAGCCCCAAGGGAGCACAGCACTAAAGTCAGAGGCAAGGGGATCAGGAGTTTGAGGCTAGGCTACTGTAGGACTCCATAGAAAACTCTGGAAAGGAACAAAGGGAGAGGGAATGAAAGGAAAGTGTGAAAGGAGGAAGGAAGGGGGAAAAGAGGGGGAAAAAGAAAGGTAGGGGAGACAGCAGAAGAAGAGAGAACAGGAGCAGAGGAAGGAAAGTGAAGACAAAATTAAAAATACATTCCTATTTTCAAGTGCACCTCTGGCACCTTTCAGTGACCTCCTGCTTTCCCACCCTCCGAGCCCAGGATCCTCAGGTTCCTCTCCAAACCTGAACTACAGCAGCTTCCCCAGATTTCCTCTAAAATCTAACACTGGCATGCTTTAAAAAACATCCAAAACCTACATATTTCTCACTTCCTCAGCTGCTACTAACGTACTTATAATTAATATTCTCCTAGTTCTCACAGAAGTACTTGTGTTTTTAAGAGGCTGTGCTGGATAGCTTTAGTGTCAACTTGACACACCTGGGTTGAGGGAGCCTCAATCGGGGAATTGCCTCTATTGGACTGGCCTGTGGCCATGTCTGAAGGGCATCTTCTTGATGAGTGATGTGGGAGGGCCCAGCCCACTGTGGGTGGTGCCACCCCTTGGCAGGTGGGCCTGTGTTGCATAAGAAAGCAGGCTGCCTGTAAGCAGCGTTCCTCCATGGCCTGTGCTCCAGCTCCTGCCTCCAGATTCCTGCCCTGAGTTCCTACCTTGGGCTCCCTGATGAACTGCGTGCGACCTGGGAGAGATGTAAGACAAATAAACCCTTTCCTCCCCAAGTTGGTACTGGTCAGAGTGTTTTGTCACAGCAATGAAGAAACAAACCAGGACAGAGGCTATTAGGTCAGTGAAAGAATTCTGAATTACAGAATTTCAGTAAGTGAAACAAAGTAAATGAAGGCCAAGAAAAAGATTTAAGGGAAGAGGGAAGAGGAAAAGAAGGAGAAAAAAGAAGAAAACAGAAGAGAGTGGGGAGGGAGAGGAGGAGAAAGGGGACTAGGAAGAGGGGAAGGAGGAGGGGGAGGAACAACAACAAGAACAAAGGGGTGGAGAGATGGCTCAGAAGTTCAGAGCACTTGTTCTTCTAGGGGACAGGAGTTCAGTTCCCAGCACCCACATGTCAGCTAACAACCATCTGCAACTCTAGTTCCAAAGGATCTGATGCCCTCTTTTGGACTCCGCAGGCACTGTACACATGGGGTACACTTACATACATGCAGGCAAAACACTCATACATGTAAAATAAAAATAATGACAAAAGGCAAGAAGAACCAGGCAATACATGAAATACTTTTGGGTGGATAGGTAGGCTAGAGTCAGTTGCGCCCTGGAGTCCTGTCCCTAAGGTCAGTTTTCCTAGATTGCTACTGTTTTTCATTCTTCTTTTCCCTAACAATCCAGGGTCTCTAAATTAAAGTATTTTCCAAAGGGTAGTTCATGGCTCCCTTGTAATGGAATTTCAAGAGATTTTTTTTTAAACAAATACTATCTTTGAGCTGGCAGGACAGCTCAGTGAGTCAAGGTGCTTGCTGTCAAGCATGATGACCTGAGTTTGATCCCTGAGATCCACATGATAGAAGAAGAGAACTCCTGCAAGTTGTCCTCTGAGCTCTTCAAGCTCGCTGTGGCACATGTGTGCCCATACACAAACATACACACCCCCAAATAATAAATAAAATGTAATTTAAAAAATATACTATCTCTGACTTCAAATAGTGATCTTCCAAGATTCTGCATAGCTCCCTGTAGTGATTCCTAAGTACACTAAGACTTCAGAATTATGCTAATAGCTCTGAGTGTGCTGGACTGTACTCTGGGTTTGTCTTCCCCACCATGGCTCTCATGGCAGTAGCAATGACTATGACTAAAGCAAGTGTGGACATCTACAGGAGACATATGTAAGTACTGTTTATATCTTAAAATGCTTTCTAAAGACAGCACTCTTTCTATTTCTCAGTTCTTTCATCTACTAGAGATGCTTGTTAAACCTGTATCTAGATATGTGCAATAAAAAAAACAAAATGAAACTAAGTCACTATACTGTACTGTTTATATCAGGTTTACAAAAATAGCTAAAGATTTTATCAAAAACTTCTCTCCTCAGTCCTTTTAGATTGCCTCATGATTCTAGAAGAATTCAGTGTTCATATTACACTGATTTAAGAGTGTTTTAAGGTTATCAATAAACTCTAAATTGTCAAAATGAAAAAAAAAAAAAAAAAAAAAAAAAAAAAAAAAAAACCAAGGACCTATGTACTTACTTGTAATGATATGGAGCCGCTGTCTTTAGTTTTACTGAGGAAGCTGGAGATGGACAAATTCAAGTCAATGCTGCTATTGTCAGCAGTGGAGCCAGTGCCTGAATCGGTGTCATTTTCCTTTTGACTTTCAGATTCTCGTGGCAGGATGGTTTCAGTTTTTGGTAAAGTACCCATTTCTCCTTTATTTTCTGTATCTTCAGAGTTAATATTAATACTGGGTATAGGAACAGGCTGAGGTTCACTGGGCTGTGAAGCTGCAAGAACTTGAGGCTCTGTTGTGATTGGCACCTGATGTGGGATTTCTTTTTTCTCTAATGCTATCTCAGCAGCAGCTTCCTGAGCATCCCAAGTTTCACTTCCTGGATCCCTCTCATCAGTATCGATCACTACACTTCTCACTTCTATTCCTTCGGTGCTACTGGGCTCTGTAACTTCCTCAATTTCATTTGTCCCTGGTTCCTCAACAGTCTCCAATACGGTCTCTGAGTTGTTAGTTAATTGCTCCTCATGTATACATACTGCAGATTTTTTATCTGCCTCCTTATTCTCAACTATTTCTTGACTAGGAGGCACTTCAGCACCACTAACCTCAGGGGCCTCTGTGGGCTTATTTCTGAAATCCTGAGTTACTTCAACCACTTCCGTTCCAGCAGTCCTTGGAGCATCCTCAGAACTGTTTTCAACTGCCTCCTGAGTAACATCTACTGCCTCCCTTGTTCCTACCTCACTGCTTGTATTAGGGATTACAACTTTTTGCATTTTATCCTCTTTTCTTGGTTTCTCTTGGGAGTCTTCCTTTGTAAACCCAACTTTACTGTCAATTGCCTGAATATCTGCCTCCTTTTCTCCTGTCTCTTGAGAAATCAGATCCATTGTTTGAATACAAGAATCTTTAGTTTCTTCAAATTGTGTAAGTTTATTCTCTAACATCTGCTGGTTTTCACCTTCCCTTTCTTCCTCAGGTTTCAGATGGTTAGTTTTTGTTTCTAAAGTTATTATAGTATTCTCATTTCCTTCACCGAATGAATTAATTTCCACAGTTTCTTGGTCTTCTTTGTCAGCTAGATTTTCAAGCTTGGGTCTCTTCTTCTCTCTCCCATTCTCACAGATTCTCTCTGTTTTATCATGGAGGTCAGCCACAGCTTTTAAATCAGCATCCTGTGCATGTTCATTAATACCCTTCTCGGTCTTTTCTGGCTCATCAATAGTAGGTTTTTCATTAAGAATTTTGTTGCTAAATTTATCTTCAGAAGTATTACGTTCTGATTTTTCTGACACAGATTCCAAAATACAAGCATTTTGTGAAAGTTTATCTTCTTCAGAACTGGCAATACTGAGGTCGGAGGAGGCACGTTTACTTGCAGGTATTGGCTAAAAAAGATTTTAATATGTTGCTAGTGTTAAAACATGACCTCAAGATGATGATCCAAGCAATGATTTGAGAGAGAGAGAGAGAGAGAGAGAGAGAGAGAGAGAGAGAGAGAGAGAGAGAGTGTGTGTGTGTGTTACTTAATAGGTGTATTCCATAAAACTTGCTGAATTCATAAAATCAATTTGAAGAACTGACAGCCCTCAATAATAAATTGATGAAAACAGGTAGCAAGGGGAACTTTGCTACCAATTTCATTTCTTTGTTAAAATTCATTTTTGTAGTAAAGATTTATTTTTATTATTTTTTAAATTATGTATATGCGTGTGCATGGGTTGTGTGCATGTGAGTCCAAGTGCCCACAGAGGACAGAGGCATCAGATCCTTGGAGATACAGGCATTGTGAGCAGCCCAATCTGGGTGCTGGGAACTGAACCTGGGTCCTCTAGATAAGCAGTATGTGCTCTTAACTACTGAGTCATCCATTTCTCCAGCCCCACAACTGCACTTCTAAAAGTAAAGGTTTCATACTGACCCCCAACAGTTACTCCTTAGGTAACTCATGCAATCTACTGTAAAACCCACCTCTAAAAATCTACTAAGTGAAATTTCTTTCACAATACTAACCAGAGAATTTTCTGCTTCCTCATCATCATCCTCCTCTTTGCCATCTTCAACCTCTTCTGTTACTTCAGCCTTTGCCTCAGCAATCAGTTCTCGGACTGGTTTGTTGGAATCAACAGTAACAAAGGGATGCTGTTGACCATTAAAAGAGCACACTCAATGACAACTGAAATGCTTTTAAAATAAACTTCAAACATATAAAACACATGTGTCAAAATGAATTATGAGTATGAAAAACATTCATAGCTTCAGACATTACATCTAGAAAGAAAACAAGGGGGAAGAGATTGAGTAAAGATGGCCTGCAACTGGATTTTATTGTTTGTTTTGTGTTTGTATTCTAAATTATTTTAAAATAACATTGTATTATTTGTGCGTGTGTGTGTGTTTGTCTGTGTGTAAACACACTGGATGGTGCACATGTGGACGTCGGAGAACAACTTGAAGAAGTGGGTTTTCTCCTTCTACCATGTGGATCTTGGAGACAGAGCAGAGGTTGTCAGGCTTGGCAGCAGGCACCTTTACATGCTAAACCAACTCACTGCCCCAATGTTTTATTTAATTTTTGATAATCTGAAGGAAATTTGCCAAAAAGTAAGACATATCATGGCTGAGTAGATGATACATGTGATTTTCTGTATGATTGAAATTTTCATTCTATTTTTAAATGAAAATTTAAAGTAAGTTTCAAATTAATGTATTACTTTTTTATAAATTTTAATTTTATTATTTTTATTTTATGTATATGAGTGCGATGCCTGCATGTATGTGAGTGCACCTGTGTCATGCAATGCCACAGAGGTCAGAAGAGGGCTTTGGACTCCCCTGGAACTGGAGTTAAGAACAGTTTGTAGCCACCATGTGGGTGCTGGGAATTGAACCAGGGTCCTCTGCAAGACCAGTCAGGACTCTTAACTGCTGAGCCATCTCTCCAGCGCCTAATGCATTACTTCTTAAAAGGTAATTACACAAGGCCAATCAGATGGCCCAGTGGCTAAAGGCACTTGCTGCCAAGCCTGACGACCTGTGTTTGAGCTAGAGAACTCACATGGTGGAGGAGTAAACAGACTCTCAAAAGCTGTCCTCTGACCTCCACATGGGCAATGTGAAACACAAGCACCCCCCAACAGATACACACACACACACACACACACACACACACACAATCATACACACTCAATTTTTAAAAAACGTTTAAGTACATAAATCTCATCAAAGCCTCAATAAAAAATTTTTTTAAATCCTTCAGATTTCTGTTAAAAGTATCTATAAATAAACCTAAACCCGCTTTCTAAAATGATTCTAACATTGAATAAGAGACATTTTATTCATCTTTGTGCTCTCAACTCTTAACAGTGACTGTTATAACCGAAGATTTTCAAATATAGGAGCAATGAAATATTAGAAAGTATGCTTTAGGGAAACAGGAGAGATGCCTCAGTGATTAAGATCACTGGCTGCTCTTGGAGAGAACCAGGTTTCATTCCCAGAACCCACATAGTGGTGACTCGTCCATAACTCCGGTTCCAGGGGATCTGATGCCCTCTTCTGGCCTCCCTGGGTATTGCATGACACTGGTACACTTACATACTGCAGGCAAAACACTCGGACAAAAGAAAGTGTGCTTTGGAGACATAGGGATAAACTTGTTGAGCATTGCAAGGCAATTTTTTCCTGCTTCCTGGCCCAAACCCCCTCCTCAGATAAACAAGTCAGCATAAAGCACTGCAACACAGGCATTGCACAGCACACATCCTTACAGGTAACTGCCTTAAGATCTGTTACTCTGGTTGTCTACCTATGATAGCATTTGACAAATTTTTATCTCAACTATAAGAGAGACCCCACTTTAAAGCAAAATCAAATTTCTCCAATCACCTTAATATTACGTTTGTATATGTGTGTATAAGTGTATGTAAATATGCGTGTGTGTACATGTGTTCATTTGTGTGAAGGTGCACATGTGCATGTCGAAGCCAGAGGACAAGCTCGGTGTCATTCTTCTTCAGCACCATCCACCTTATTTTGTTTTTCCTGACACAGGGTCTCTCACTGGCCTGGGGCTTGCCAATTTGGTTAGACTCCCTAGTCCTCAAGCCACAGGGATACACCCATCTCTGCCTCCTCAGCACTGGGATTACAAGCATGTGCCACCATAGCTGACTTTTTTACATGGGTTCTGGAGATGAAACTCAGGTCCCCATGCTTGCTGGCAAGCACCTTACTGACTGAGCTATCTCCTCAGCCCCCACATCAATTTTTGAAAATTTTAATGAATACTTCCTCTTACTATAAAAGATATCAAAAAAACAAAATTCGCCTGCTCATGGTCCCTGCCCACAAAGTACTTGCTAACAGTCATTAGACACCATAGAAATATTACCATAAAAAGAATGTAATTAAACTGAATTATAAGAAGCACAGAGGAATGCCTTCTAAGTTGAATGTCTGTTACTAACAGCAACACATTTATACTATTCCACACATTTGACTTTCCAAAGAGAAACTCAAGTGGAAAGGGTGCACAGTGAATGAATCTGAGACTATACTCTGCTAAAGAGAATGCTAAACAGTATGACTACCCCTACTTACCTGCAGTAGTTGAGATGTGGTCCACCTGGCATCCACATTCTTTTCCAAGCATTTCTTGAGAAAGTCCTTAAAACTTGAAGACCTTCAAAATAAAATGTTAACAATGGCACTTTATTTTACTTTCTTGTTAATAAAAATCGAATGAAATTCCTTAACAAATTATGCTTAATTTCATTAGGCTTAGTATAGATTAGCATTGATTTAGTATAATGACAACTATTAGTGAGAACAAAATAAGTGTTCTATAATTACACACATACATGTGACGAGGTACACAGTTAATTACTGAGATGCAGTCATATTCAGAGGTTATTTTTAAAAAAAATCACAAAAAAATCTATTACACTAAGTTCCACAAATATACATCACTTGTACATATGCCTCACTCTTCCATACAGATCTCAACTCATTCAGATTGACAAACACATGGGAAAAGTTAGTTATAATGGTTTCCATGGTCAAGTCTTTTTTTTTAAAGATGTATTATTATTTTATGTCTATGAGTGTTTTGCCTGCATGTCTGTATGTGTGCCTGGTACCCACAGAGTTCAGAAAAGAGCATAAAAAGCCCCTGGAAGTGGAGTTATAGATGGCTGTGAACAGAACAGAACCCCAGTCCTCTTGCAAGAGCAGCAAGTGTTTTTCAGTGCTGCTCCAGTTCCCATCCTTAAGTCTTAAAAAGTATACCCACATCAGTTCTCTCATTCATAGTCTTTGTACAACATATGAAACTTAAATACTCTTAGAAAACTAGAACAGAATACCAAGTTTTGCTTCTTAAAAAGCTTGTTTAAAATAGTTTACCATTTTGATGGCTGTGCTAATGTTGGTGGCTCAGATTTTGCTATTTTTAACAGTACTCGCATTGGATTTAACTCATGATGAGGTGGCTCTATCTCAGCCATTTCTATTAAAGTAATACCCAGGGACCAAACGTCAGCTTTGTAGTCATAAGGTCTGTCCTTTGATGTCTCACACATGACTACTTCAGGAGCCATCCTATGAAGACAGAGAAATGAAAGTTCAGATGTTTAACTTAAAAAGTTATTGCAAACCAGAGTCAGTAATCTAAGTATCAGTGGACAAAAAGTAATAACTGCTGATATAATACTATAAATCCAAAAAATGAATACCTACCAATATGGTGTGCCAATAAAGGAATCTCTTCTCTGAATCGTCCTGGTGTTTTTAGCTGATACTCCAAAATCCGCTTAAAATAAATAATCATATAATAACATTAATGACAGGATTTAAGCATAGTAAACTGCATTCAATGCAGTGAGAGGGGAGAGCATTTCAAGTCTTAAGTAAGGCCTTACTTATTAAAGGCTAAGCACAATAAATTTCTCTGCCATTCTGTTTTTTAATTGTGTGTATCATGTGGTGTATACATGTGTTCATGTGTGCATGCAGCTTGTAGAGGCCAGAGGTCAATATCAGGTGTCTGCCTCTATTACTTTTCACCATTTTTTTTTTGAGACATCTTTCACTGAATCTGAAGCTTACCAATTTGTCCAAAACTAGCTGACCAGTGGGCTTCAGGGATCCCCAGTCTCTATCCACCTCCCCAGCTAGGGCTTCAGACATACACCACCATACTCAGTTTTTTGCATGGTTTCTGGGGATCCAAAATCAGGTCCTTGTATTTGCCCAGAAGGTACTTTATCAATTAGCCATCTCTCCAGCCCCTGCCATTCTAATCTTAACTCTCCTATTTCTACCTTTCAAAAATAATGCTAAGTTTTCTATCACAAATACACTGATATCACCATCTACATAGGTCTTCATATGATAAATTCTTCAGAAATGAAAACAAAAATAGTAACTTTAAACAGTACAACACACTTCAAAACAAATGCCAACTGGTGTGGCAAGTTGAAACTAAATCAATGGGCTTTTCTACTATGTGAAAAACAGACATTATAGCAAAGCAACCTTTAGTGTGACAGCATTATATCTTACCAGCTTCCTCAAAAATTACATTACAAAGAAGGTAAGCATGGTGGTATGTACCTATAATTCCAATAAATGAGAGCCTGAGGCAGGATTGGGAGTTTGAGATCACTCTAGGCAACAGAGCAAGACTATTTCAAAACAAATGTTTTAAAAATTATAAAGCAAAAAATTGGAAGTTTTATGTTTTCTGACTTAACATTATAAAGAACAGCAGCATTACAACTTTGTCAGTTGGGTAACCCAACCTTTTCACTTAAAACTCAGAACCAACTCACTGAAGACTAAACAAAAGGAGTAAAGCATGTTTCTGCTTTTTTCTATAATGAACTATAGTTCAAAGCAGCCAAATAGAGGTCTCCTTTTATAAAATTAATTTCTTAATTCATAGTAATAAATGAAAAGAATGAAATAGTTGATTACAGAATTATCAAAAATAACAAAAAACACAATGCATTTTGCAACCACAATCAAAGAAGAAATCTGGGTATCAAGAATAAATCAGCCTGGGGATGGTGCTCTGCTGTAAAGCACTTGCCTAGCACGTTCGAAGCCCTGGGTTCAATACCAACTGAAAAGAAAGAACAAAAACAAAAAGGAATAAAAAATAGAGCAAAAGTAGGTGGCATGCCTGTTGATTAAAAAAAAAAAAAAAAAAGCAAACCTAGTCTTACCAAGGGATCGAACCTGAGACTTGCCAACCTTCATTAAGCCTTAGCTTCATCTGCTAACTGATGGAAATGCAGAAAGAAGCTTACTGAAATCCTGACCATACCACAATCAGCAAAATGCAGCTAAAGGGAAAGCTTCTGGTCTCATGGCCCAGATCCCATGAGTCCACCTTTCTTTCATTCCTACCTCCTTAAGGAGTGTTTTTAATTAAATTTTTCCTAATCATCCTATTGCTAGTGTTAATGCCACATATACACTGTGTGCATGCTGTGGACTTTGGGGAGAGGTCACAAGCCATTGGAATATCTGTTTATTTTTAACTCCAAAGAATCAAATTTGCTCCCTTGGGAGTATAATACTGATTCTATGAGAATGCACACCACCATGTGAAAAAAGGAATGGAGGGGAAAATTCATAAACTACAGACTTAAAGAGAAAATAATATTTATATGTGGGAAAATTTAAACTTTAGGGAAAACCATGAGATGAACAAGATATAAAGAAACAGAAACAAGTGATGATGATAAAAGTCAGGACAAAGTGTGAGAACGGGAAAGTGGTTACTGAAATCAGACCAGCAGGTAGAAGAACCTGTGGGGGGCCTGAAGAAGTCTGATTTCTTCATCTATGTGGTGAGTTCAAAGCTCTTGTCCAAATATATCGCTTTTCTTATGATTTCTCTATCTGGTTATGGTAGAACAAAAAGGATAAAATTTAATATATCCCATTTAGATAGCATGACAAAGTAAAGTAAAATGGTTACAATCACTGGACTTGACATATTTCTGAATGTTTTATCATTTTAACATCTTTCCAAAATATATAAATTTAGACTTCACTGCTACATTTAAAAAATTTTTTTTATTATTTTTATTTTATGTGTGTGAGTGTATTGACTGCATGTATGTGAGTATACCCGTGTCATGCAATGGCGCAGAGGTCAGAAGAGGGCTTTGGATTCCCCTGGAACTGGAATTAAGGATGGTTAGTAGCTGCCATGTGGGTGCTGGGAATCGAACCCCGGTCCTCTGCAAGACCAGTCAGTGCTCTTAACCCACTGAGCCATCTCTCCAGCCCCTCACTGTTACATTTTTAAAATAATTTTCTACCTTAGAAAAACTTAGAAGGCTCTACCTTCCATTTGTATGTGTGTGTGTGTATATATATATATATACATATATATATATATATATATAAACTTAACTAACCCCCAATCTAAAAATCTGTATATAGTTATTCTTACAAAATTCATTATGTACTCCTTCAGTACAAAAAACAAAATTAAGGGATTAAGGGGCTGGAGGGATGGTTCAATAGTTTAAAGCATTGGCTGCTCTTGCAGAGGACCTGGGTTCAGTTCCCTGCACACACATGGAGGCTAACCACCATCAGTAACTCCAGTTCCAGGGGATCCAATGCTTTCTTCTGGCCTCATTGCACGCATCAATGCACTTACATACATACAGGCAAAACAAGCACACACAAAAAATTAAATGCTTGTCTTACACTTAATTTTCTTTTAAACCTAAGGTCATTTGTTTGTTTAATCAAAGTATCACATTAGTAAAATAGAGTATAAAACTGGGTTGGAGATTTAGCTCAGTGATACAGTGCTTGCTTAAGGAGTGAAAGGCCCTGGGTTTGGTCTCCAGTATTGGGGGACATGCGGGGGGTGGTAGGAGCAGTATAAACAAAACTGTAGAACAAAGAAACCTATTGGACTTAAGTTGCAGAAATAATGATAAAATTGCCAGGCATGGTGGCACACACCTTTAATCCCAGCACTTGGGAGACAGAGGCAGGTAGATCTCTGTGAGATCAAGGCCAGCCTGGTCTCCATAGCAAGTCCAGGCCAGCTGGGGCTACAGGGGGATCCTGTCTCAAAAAAGAAATGCTAAAATTGAGTTCACAGTATTATACTGTAAAACATTTACAAGTGCTAACTATATGCAAGAACTTTAAGGGAAAATCTTAACTAGTCTTTTAAAAGTTTGTCCTCTTGAGGCCATTGCCAATCATGTTGGGTATACACCAGAAGTGGACGGAGAGACCCTATTGATGAAGACACTGCATGATGTGAGTGCAGGAGAGGGAGAAATCAAGCTTGGACTAAGCTGGAAACTCCCTGCCACTGGATGGGTGGCTTTTATGGTGCCAAAAGATGATATGCAGATGACTGGGAGAGAATCGTTCCCTATAATTCTGCTCAACAACAGACCCCAAGTGTTGCACTATCAACACACCAAACAAGATGTTCCTGCTAGTGTAACAGTGGAGCACCTAGTGTATGTACAACCAGTAAATGTTCAATTGGATATAATGCCTGCTCCTAGGGGTGGAACACACATCTGGTACTGTAGACCAGGACACCTCCCTGTGGCAGGGGAGGATATAGGCCCCAGTGGGGAAGCCACTACAATTGTTTTGTTAGATGGACGTGATGTACCTGCTAAAGTACTGTCCAAGCATTAGTGTTGACACCCATAGGTTAAGTTAGTACAGCAGTCTCTGTTTAGATGTTCTTGATTCTTGCTTTGTTTTTCTAGCAGATGGAATCCCACCGAAATAGGCCAACAGCCCATGGAAAACTGATGATGCAGAGACTCAAAAGTTCAGTGCCTTGCCACAATAGGAGGAAGATCATCCCACACCTACCACCCCCTCCAAGGCTCAGGGACTTTTGTGGAAGAGGTTGGCAGAAAGAATGTAAGAGCCAGAGGATGGGATGGAGTGTTAACTGGAAGTGTCCTCTGACCACTATGCCACCACTACAGTCACACCTCCTTCCCATGCTCATCAAGGACTTGAGGGGGGAGGGGCTAAGGATACACAAGCCAAGAACACCAGGAGGAACCTCTCTCATCACTTTCTGCAGCTATTGGGTCACAGGATCTCTATTTGAGTATGGTCTTTCCAGTGCAGCCGTAAATGGGGGGCACTCACTTCTCTGTAAATAAACCCCACCCTATGCTCTGTTAAAAGAAAATAAAAAGGAAAAGAACCTTTAAAAAAAAGTTTGTAAACTGGGCGTGGTGGCGCACGTCTGTAGTCCCAGCACTTGGGAGGCAGAGGCAGGCAGATCTCTGTGAGTTCAAGTTATTTTGATATATCACAGTGAAAGATTTATCGTCCTCTTTTTTTTTTTTTTTTTTTTTTAAAAAAAAAAAAAAAAAAAAAAAAAAAAAAAATTTTGTCCTTTTGAAAATGAAGATTTGCCCTCTTTTACTTTCTTTCTGAGTATCTTTATACTAGGTACATATTCTGAGAACTGATGAATATTTATCCAAATATGACGTGTTTATGAAGCCAGGATGGAGTAATTCCCCATGTTTCACATATTTGAGCAGGCACAAAATAGTATCAACTCACTACATGCAGGACTAAATCTCAGAGTACAAATCCAAATGTTACATATTTAAATAAATAACTTACCCAATTTAATGTCTCCCTCTAAGGTAAAAAGAATATTGCCAGCTTTTAGATCTCTGTGGATGATTTTATTATCATGTAGGTAATTCAATGCCTCTAAAGTCTGCTTGCAAACTACTTGTATTTGGGACTCAGTTAATGGTCTCTCAAGTTCTATAAGGAGAAAGTGAAAAATACAAATATATGCATTTTAATATAAACATAGGGCTAGCTATAGATTTTCCAGTATCTATCACCACCATGATCTTGTCAAAGATCATATGCAATTTGTTGTAAATGAACTAATTATCTACAAAGATTAATTTCCTGACATAGTATATTCAACATTTCATTTCAGAATTATAATTATCTGAAAAATATAATTGATTTCTTAATGTATTGAACTTCCCAATTACATACATAAATGATTGGAATCTTTTTTGTTTTCAAGTACAATTTAAGAAACAAACACAAAGGTATTTACCAAGCATCACAGCATCTACTGCTCCCCCTGCACAAAATTCAATGAGGATCTGCATAGAAAAAAGGCATGAGTTTAAAATCAGACTGAGTTTCAGAAATTTTTCAACTTAGCAAAAAAGAGAAATGAATAATTAATAAATCTATACTATAGAAATAATATTATGCTAAACATGAAGGTTTTTTGTCATTAGCTACGAGTCTGAGATACCAAGCATCCAAGAATGAACGTGGACAAGCTACATACAGACCTATGCTGCTCCCCCTTTTCTGTTTTTTTGAGTCTGGTTTCCCTGTAGTCCAGGCTGGCCTCAAACCTGCAATGATCCTGCCTCTGTCCCCAAATGCTGATATTACAGGCATGCTCCACCACACCCAGCCATGCCCATTTTCATAAATGACAACTTTTAGCATCCTTGCTTCTCCAAGATTGCCAGGTATAGAGTTCTTAATTATCATGGTTTAAGTATTGTTTTAAGGTGCTTTTTGGTTTTGTTTTTTTGATTTGTTTTTGAGACAGGGTCTCCCTGTAGCCCCAGCTGGCCTAGAACTTGCTATATGGACAAGACTGGCCTCAATCTCACAGAGATCCACCTGCCTCTGCCTCCCAAGTGATGGAATTAAAGTATTTAAATATTTTAAAAATTCATTTAAAATATTTTATTACTTTTATCTTTCAAGTAACTATTGTGATGTTAAATGACCAAATATATTGTTTAACCTTCTCAATAAAAGTAAATCCTAAAAAGAGCTTCTTTTAAAGATTTATTTTTAATTATGTGTGTGGGTGTGGCTGTAGGGGAGGGGGAATGAGGTATGTACACATGAGTGCAGGTACCCTGAGGCCAAGAGGATATCAGATACCCTAGAGCTGGAGTTATAGGGAGTTGTGAGACACCTGACCTGGGTGCTGGGAACTGGGGTCCTCTAGAAGAGCAATACATCCTCTTAACCCTGAGTCATCTCTCTGACCTTTTAGTTTAAAAATATATAGTGAAATAACAAAAAATATAGTGAAATAACAAACAACAACAACAAAAATACATAGTGCATGAAGGTTCTCGTTCTCTCTCTCTCTCTCTCTCTCTCGCTCTCGCTCTCGCTCTCGCTCTCACTCTCTCTCTCCCTCATCTTCAGATTCTAACTCAATTATCACTTGGGATACTTTCCCAACCTCCATGGTAAAATATAATAATATCATGTACCCTTCCTTCTTAACTCTTATCACAGTTACAATTTTATTATGATTCTTTTATTTTTATCTATGTCTCCCATTAAATTGTCCCTCACAGTAACCTGAGTTTTTATTTTGCAGTAGCTCCAATGTCTAGGAGCTTAATTATAATCTTTATACATTCTGCTAGAGTCCTGATTAAGTATTTTAGAAAACACCACACTAAACCATAATTTTTGGCAAACTGTGTAATTCCACACTTTATTCCTCTTGCTACAGTAATGTTCTAAGTGGTTACCAATTACAAATTATTTCCAAATTCATTACATGATTTAAAAATAATTTAGGAGGTAAATCATTATTCAGCCTCTAGATAAGCAAACACTCAAGAGTTAACTGGCCTAGCCAAACTCCTAACTGGCAGCAATCATATCAGAAACAGGGGCCATCTGATTTCTGGTCAGGTATTCTTTATATTGCTTATTCCTCTCTCAGAACAGTTTTGTTTCTTCTTTCAAGGAAAAAAACTAAAATTCCATTTTATGAAAAACTCACTTGATAAAACTAGGCTGGTACAACATGTAGCTAACTACTTATAATAAATATTAACGTTTTATTGATGTACCTATTTATGACCATTTTCTTAAAAATGTACAAAATTTGGGCTGGAAAGATGACTCAGCAGTTAAGAACACTGGTTGTTCTTGCATGAATCCCAGCACCCACATGGTAGCTAACAACTGTCCCTAACTCCAGTTCTGAGGGCGGTGGGGATCCAAGGCCTCGTCTGTCCTCTGCAGGCATTTACCTACACGGGTGCACTTACCTACATACAGGCAATATACTCATACACATAAAAATAAAAATAATAAAAAAAAATTTTTTGATCTTTTTGAGACAGAGTCTCCCTGTAGCCCCAGCTGTCCTGGAACTCATTATGTAGACCAGGCTGGCCTTGAACTCACAGAGATCCACCTGCCTCTGCCTCCCTAGTGCTGGGATTAAAGGCGTGTACCACCATGCCCAGCTTAAAATATTTTTTTAAATGAACAAAACTTATACACTCAGCCATTTTATCATGCAGTGAAGGTGAACTTAACAAGATTTAGCATTTCTAGTAGTTTATATAGTCTATTATAAGATTTATTAAAACTTTAAGATAAAAAATTATTAACACATAACAAAACAAAGAAAGTATCAAATTTTTAATGACTATTTAAATTTAAATTACAAAGACACCTCATTTCATATCTTGGAAATTTAAAATTCTTGACTAAGATTTCCCACTTAGATTCAGTGTCAAACAATCATGAAACTAGTATAATCTGCGATCTAAATCTGAACACGTGTTGAGACAGAGGACTATGACCTTGTTAATGACTCTCATTCAAGTAACACAAGTAACTAAACAGAAGAGGTAACATAAAATAGGCTTTCACAACCTCTTTAAAACAATTACCTCATTTTGGTTTCTCCATAAAGAAACAGAAATTACTTACCCAGAGATTGTTCTCATAATAGAAGGCATCTAGAAGCTTAACTATGTTTGGGTGATCACAAGAGGCTAATATATCAATCTCAACCATGTAATCTTCAAGTTCTTCTTCAGATTTGGTGTCAATCACCTTTGCAGCAGCTAAGACATTGGTCTCTTTGTTCTGGGCCTAAAATGAAAGTGTCAGAGTGTCACACTTAAAATGCAAACTTTGACATTTTAATTCATTGTTATTTTTTTAAGAAAATGTTTGGGTTCACAGCAAAATTGAACAGAAAATACAACATCCCCTTATATCCTCCACTCCACCATCTGCACCATGATGCCACATTTGCTGCAGTCAATGAGCCTACATTAACACATCACTACCATTCTGTACATAATTTACATTAGAGTTCAGTGCCGCACATTCTATGGGAGTCAACAAGTGCGTAACATGTATCTACCATTATATCACAGAATCATTATATCAGACAGAATGGTTTTACCATGCTGAAAATCCTCTGTACTCCAGCTATGCACCTCTGCCTCCCCCTAACTGTTGGCAACCACTCAGTTGCTTACTGCCTCTTTGGTCTTACCTTAACCAGAATGTGTATAGTTGGAAGCATATAGTATGTAGACTTTTCAGATTGGCTTTTACTGATTATATGGATTTAAAGCTCCTGTAGGTCTTTTCATGGTTAGATAGCTCATTTCTTTTTAGAAATGAACATTATCCCATAGTCTGTTACATACAGTTTGTTAGCCCTGTCACCTAATAAATGTTGACTGTTTCCAAGTTTGAGAATTATGAATAATTGTGAAAATGACTTTTCTAGGAATGTTTTCTGTTACAAACAGGAATCTTACCTAACCTTGTAACCAAAGTTAATCTTATGTTTTGAGATCATTTAACACTAGCTCAGCTTGTTTTCAATGCAAACAATTATATTAGCTTGGGCTCCTTTTGTAAGCTAAACATACAGTTTTGAGGGAGGGAGTCTTTTTGAGACAGGGTCTCCCTTTAGCCCCAGCTGGCCTAGAACTCGGTATGTAGAGCAGACTGTCTGAGATTAAAGGTGTGTGTCACCATGCCCAGCTAAACATATAGTTTTAATCCTTCATGACCCTTCCTTACCTACCCCTGACCCATAATAATAATAGTGTGTGTGTGTGTGTGTGTGTGTGCAGACAGTGAAAATATCAGCACTGAAAGCAGTGAATATCACTGGAAATAAGGAATTCTCCCATTTATGTTACAAACAAGTGGGATTAGATTGATAACATCTGTTTGTGGTTGTGTGCGCTGTTCTAGGGTGAGGAGAGGTCAAAAAGGACAAAGTATTCCCTGATTAAGGCAGCTTTCACCGTTCCTTTTCCATACCATGATGGATGTACTGTTTCAATACATATAGATCAAGTCTGGTTTGGGGGAACAGTTCCAAAACAAATCAGAAGAACAAGTTCTCAGAACAGATTGGGCTTACTCTTGGTTCTAACCAACACCAAAGTCTATCTTCTTCATAACGTGGTATCTCTTTGCCTACCACAAATAATCATGTATGTACAGGTTTCAATATAGATACAGTTTTTAATTTGCTGAGTAAATACCAAACAACATAACTTCTGGAGAAGACAGTCTGCTTAGGTTTTTTCGTAAGAAACTGCCTCACTGTCTTCCAAAGTGGCTGCTCCATTGGGCATTCCTACTGGCAAGGAATGAGATCACCATACCCATGGAGTCCATGTGGATTTGAGCACTCTCCTAAGTTTGTTTCCATTTGTAACCCTAAAGACATATGGGGAACATCTTTCCAGATGCTTATTTGCTATCTGTATCTCTTCTTTGGATAGGTAGCTGTTTGATTTTTTTTTTTTAATTTTCTAATATGTGAGTTTTAAGAATTCTTTGAACAATAATCCTTTATATGGTGGGTTTTTTTGCAAATATTTTCCCCCAGTCTGTGGCTTCTCATTCTTTTGACACACTATTTTTAAAAGGTAATTTAAACACAAATATTAATTATGAAGCCTGAGTGTGGTGGTGCACACCTGTAATCCCAGCACTTGTGAGGCAGAGATAGAAGGATCCACATTAATTTGAAGCTAATTTGGTCTACATAGTAAGTTCCAGGCCAGGCAGAGCTACAAAGCAAGATCTTGTCTTAAAGAAAAAGAAATTAAAAAGGATAATGTCATATCACTGGCCTGAGTGGGTCAGACTGCTAAGGGTTCAAAGTCTGTTCTGCCACTTAGCAGCTGTGTTGCTTGGGGCAACTTTAAAAGAATTCTTGTGTTTACATCCCTGCTCGGTGACATATAGCTACAATTCTCAAGTTTGGGAGAATTAAGATAATACGTATTTATATTTGGGATTTGCCTAAGTAGATTACTAATACATTTTATTTCCTTAGGAGGAAAAAAAAAGCAGATAATACTACTAAGGTTTAGGTTCAGAGAATATATTTTGGATAGAAAGATTACTATAAAAGTCAACCTTACCACTCTACCACTCTAGAACAAAATTCTAATGCATCACATTTTATCAAATCTAGGATGCCTTTTAAGATGTGTTATTTGGGGGCTGGAGATACTGAACATACTGTTCTTGCAGAAGATCTGAGTTTGGTTCCCAACATCCTATCAAGTGGCTCACAATTGTCTGTAATTCCAGCTCCTAAAAATTGATGCCCTCTTCTGGCCTCTGTGGGCACTGCACTCACATACTCATACACACACACATACATACATATACATAATTTTAAAATAACTAAATTTTTTTTTAAGATGTGCTATTTGTTATTCTAAAAACAAGTTGGTACACTGGTGCATGTCTGTTATCCCAGCACTTGGAAGGCTGAGGCAGGAGGACTGCTCCAATGTCAAGGCTAGCCTGAGTTACATAGTAAGTGCCAGGTCAGACTGGGCTGCATAGCAAGACTCTATTTCAAAAAACAAAACAAAACAAACAAACAAAAAAAAAAAAGCCAGGTATGGTGGCACAAGCCTTTAATCCCAGTACTCCAGAAGCAGAGGCAAGTGGATCTCTGTGAAATCAAGCCTGTTCTACACAGCAAGTTCTAGGGCAGCTGGGGCTATAGGGTGACCCTGTCTCTAAACAAGAGAACAAAACAAAAAGATGTCCTATTATTTTCTAGACTACGAAAAATAAGAAAAAACAAAAACAAAATACCCTGCTACTTTGTCAACAGTTTATCATCTAGAATATTCAATCCAAATTCCTATTATTTATCTATGATTCCTGTGAATATATGAAAATTTAATCTTTATGTTTGACTCTTCTTAATTACTTTTTGGCTAATTCAATTACTTGATGTTTGATTCCCCCCCCCCCGCCGCCACACATACACACATACTATCATCCCCTGGCCATTAAAAATTTAGAGAGAAGGCATTCAGCTTGCTGGCTGGCTGGCTGGTTGGTTGACTGGCTGCTTTATCATGCTACAATTTGGGAGCTGTTCTCAAACCAGAGTCCCTCCTGCCTCATCCTTTGGAGTGTTGAGAGTTCCACCACAAAGCTCCACATTTCTTTAAAAAACCATCCAAAACCATCTCCAAGGTTTTGGGGGGAAGACAATGATTCCCATTTGGCAGCTCATAATGCTGATCTTTCTTGAATTTGTCACATGAAAGAAAAATTTTAGATAACAACTAGGACTCACATTCTTTTTTCACAAGGTCCTTAAAACAGTTTACTGACTGAAATATCAAGGAGTTGTACCTGTATGACTCTAGGCATACATGTGAGTTCATGATGCACAGAAATGGTTATAGACTACCACCCATCAATGTAATTATAAGAGAGCATTGACTAAAAACACACATTTCCCTCTGTGCCAATTTCAGCAATGTTAAAAAAGTAAAAGATCACTGGGCATAGTAGCACACGCCTTTAATCCTAGCACTTGGGAGGCAGAGACAGGTGGATCTCTGTGAGTTCAAGGCCAGCCTGGTCTCCATAGCGAATCCAGGCCAGCTGGGACTACAGGGAGACCCTGTCTCAAAAAGACCAAAACAAAAAAAAAGGTAAAAGATCTATCACAACTGGTAAAATATGGTGCTGTTTGTCTTCCTTAGAAAGGTACTACAGTTAAGCCAATAACTAAAACTCATTTTCTCCTGAGGCAGATGAAATAAACCAGGGAGATTATCCCTACTCCCAGCATTTTACTGTAACTCTGTAGGAAGAAAGAGACCTGGGAGAACTTGGGAACTTGTCCTTGGAGAGAAACTGTAAAATAGCCCTGGTGAACAGAACAGAAAAAAAGAAAATAAATAACTACAGTTCCTTACAGTAATGAATTCTGATATTTCACTGCCCTGGATATAATGATTAAACCAACAATGGTATCATTCTGTTTAATGCATCCAATAAAGGTTCCATTAGAAAGCACAGTACACCTAAGGGCAGAAAGTATAGCTCATTAGTGCTCCGCCTGCTTAGCACCTGAGAGGCTCTAGGTTCAAATTCTTACACCAAAAAAGACAAAGAAAGTACAATACCTCTTATGTTACTGCCTTAAAATAATTTGAGCACCCATCAGAATCTGGTTCTATAGAACATCAAAACTGAAATTAGCACTAATAAATGTTATAACCCTAAAAAGTCATCTATTTAAAGTTAAAAGCAGGGAAAATCTTTATAAAGAGTTGAACTTTTAAAGCATTTTTAGTTGTTTTTGTCTTGTTTTGTTTAGTAGAGCTTGGGACTGAACCCAGGACCTTGCCCATGCTAAGCCTGTGCTCTACCAGCCCCACATAAAGATTTTATGAAAGAACTAAACAAATGTTAATCAAAAGAGCAGACTAGTAAATATCAGATATTAACTTAAACATGGGACTTCTTTTGATAAAAGGTTTTCAAAGACCACTCAGGAAGCAGAGGTAGGCAGATCTCTGTCAGTTCAAGGCCAGCCTCGTCTACATAGTGAGTTCTAGGCCAGCTGGGGATACAGGGCGACCCTATCTCAAAAAAACAGGGGGAAAAAAAAATGGTTTTCAAAGACCAATCAAGCATTCAAAACCACTTATGTTTTCATGACTCAACAGAACACAGCTACTTTACATAAACAAATAGAAAACTGCAGGGAAACATAATTTACCTGAGTTTTCTGTGCTAATTCTATGTTCTAAATGAAGGAGGGGAAAAAATAAGACTCTCCT